TAACATGAGAGATCACTTCCTGAATGACTGCTGTGTAGACTGAGTCTTTTAAAAATGTTTCCAAAATGTAAATGACGGCCTGGGTAAGGTAATAGACTATTTGCTAACTATTTCCAATGCTCCGTCCTCCGATGACTCTAGCTTGTGTCAAGTTGACACACAAAACCACCCAGCACCACTGACCCCTTGTCAGCTTGACACACAAACACGTCACTGTTCTTTCTTACTCATCCCCAAGATTTTAAATAACTTTAAAAGTTCCACAGTCTTTATAAATTCAAACATATTTAAAATATATAATATAGCCAATCTCTTTAAAAATACAAAGTGTTTTAAAATCTCCCAACTGTGGGCTCTAATAAAATACCTTCTTTCTTCAAGAGGGAGGAAAGTTAGCACAGTTACAATCAAATCAAAGCAAAACAGAATTCCAACTGTCTTAATACCTGGGATCCACTCATGATCATCTGGATTTTTCCTAAGGACTTGGGTCCTTTCACAATCCTCTCATACATATGATCAGGTACCCACTCCTGGTACCAGTTTGTCTTAGTTAGGGTCCTATGGCTACGATAAAAGACCATGACTAAAGATCAAGTTGGGCAGGAAGGGTTTATTATTAGGCTTATACTTTAGCATTGCTGTTCATCACTGAAGGAGGTCAAGACAGGAACTCAAAACAGAGCAGGATCCCAGAAGCAGGAGCTGATGCAGAAACCATGGAGGGGAGCTGCTTTCTGGCTTGCTTTCTTTGGCTTGCTCAACGCACCTTCTTATAGAACCCAGGACCAGCGGCCCAGGAATCGCGCTATCCACCATGGACTGGGCCTGCAGACAGACTGCCCATTTGTTTTACAGTCGCCCAAACCTGAATAATCACACAAAAACTATATTAATTACAGCACTCTTTGGCTACAAACCTTTCTAAACGAGTTGCTATTGTCAGATTTAGACTAAGATGTTTTGTTATTTAAGACAAAAAGGGGAAGTGTAGTGATATTTCATTTGTATTTTAATAAATAAAGCTTGCCTGAAGATCAGAGAGTAAAACAGCCCCACTGATCAGCCTTATAGACCAGGTAGTGGTGACACCTTTAATCCCAGCCCTAGAGAGGATTGTAAAACAGGAGGAGACAACTCTGTCAGTCTCATTCTGAGATTCCTGAAGGCAGGATTTGCATTTCTGACTGAGATAGAGCTAAGAGCCAGTGGCTGGCTGTTTTTTTTTTTTTGCTGACTTTCAGGTTGAACCTCAGTATCTGTCTCTGGGTTTGTATTAATCATGCTACACTAAGGAGCTATGTCTGCAACAGAGAGACAGGGACAGAAAGATTTTTAAGCCAGAAATGAGTTGAGCCAGAAAGGCATCTTTAGGGATACTGCTCTATGGTCAGAATGACATGTACAATGAGATCACCCAGTGGCTAAAGGTGTTTGACACTAAGCCTGAAGACAGAGCTGAGTTGGATGCCGAGGACCTACATGGCAGAGTTAGAGAACTTACTCCTACAAGTTGTGGTCTGAGCTCCACATATGTCATAGTATGTGCCAATACAAGAAATCAATACAAGAAAAATTTGAGGGTGCATTTCAGAAAGAACAACTGGAGGCAGGAAAAGTAGTTAAAGAGCTCAGACTTGGTACCCAGTATAAAGTTAGGCAGTTGAACACTAACTGCTGCCATTGAAGTGGGAAAAAGAAAAAGAGGGCAGAGAGGAGTTAAGAGTAAGAATCACTGGGACAAGGAAGGGGAGGAAGGAAGGGCAGCTCTCGGTAAATGCATCTTACAAAAGAAAAGTTGAGAATGTGAGAGACTGAGTGGGTGCTGGCAGCTGCAGTCTCCAGCCATGAAGTTAAATGGCCCAGGTTGGCCCTCGATGCCATTATAGAAGGACTGTCGTTGTATTGGTGAATTGCACTAATACCTTAGCTTCGTGGTTTAAAGAGGCTTCTGGTAAAACCCTTGTGCTTCTGCTGAGTTTTGTTTATTCTGAGAGGGTCTTGGCTTGAGATCTAGAGCTAAGAGTGTTTGTTGTTCTTTCTCCAAATACATGAAATCCTCAGCAATGTATGAAGTCACGTTTGTGTTTTTAAAGATACCTTTAAAAACATCCATTTGAACTTAATACTGCTAAGAAAGTATATCTCTGAAACATGTGCCTAGTTGGGACTGTAAGAGCTGTTCCTCTGGGTTGGGTTCAGTTCCCTTCCTGTGGGCTCAGAGATGAAACTGGCAGCTCCTGACCTCTCTCTTGTACTCTCATCCCTGTGAACTGCATTTTAAGAACCAGGTACATGTTATTTCTTGTGTGTTCTTAAACTGTTCAGCTTAAAATGTCCTCACTGACCCACAGATAAGCTAATTAGAGGCCCACCAAAAACTGGCAAGCTGAGAGACGTACCCTCTGCTAGGTGTTCTGTTGGTGTTGGATTCATGGTTTCATGCATACAGTCATTTCTTCTGCTTACCCCCTTCCCCAACACCCCTGTCTTCAGCAGTGGAACAGAAAGCCCATGGTCTGATCACAGCACAGCCAAGTCCCATTGTACTCTGGGCACCATTTTAGCAGTAATCAAATTGTTAGCTGCATTGTTGTAATTGGTGACTGAAGTTGCTGTTTCCCCTGGCTGGTGGTTCCTCCTGGTAGAAAGCACTGAAGTCTAATAACCTTGTTTTCTGCCTCCCAGGGGCTTCTTTCCTGTGGTCGTTGGCTTTATCAGAAGAGTGCCTGTCCTAGGATCCCTCCTAAATCTACCTGGAATCAGATCGGTATGTATTCAATGTTAAGCAATACACCGACTGAATAAATAGATTGTGATGCCTTTTTACTTGGAGCTTGACTCATTGATGTGATTAAGTCATTATGATATAGATGATTGTGTCATACGGATTCTGGTTCCCGTGAAAACCAGAAATTAATCATTTATAGATCTATGAAACCTGACATTTTGCTTGAACATACTATTTTCAGTATTATTTTTTATTTTTGGTGTTACTCTGATTGATAAGTGAAACCCTTCCTGCATTCAGGGTGCATTCTGTGGACGCTTGGTAGTAACCTGCCATGGAGGCTCCATCTATTGTGGGATCTCCAAACCCTCTCAGGATTTACCTGCCTTTCCCAACTCCCTATGGCAGACTCAGGATGGCTTTGCATGCCTTCCCTATACACACCTCTATCTAGCGTTTACCTGATTTAATCATCAAGAGGAAAGCTCCAGAGCTGTGATCAGAGTCCTTCAGGGCAGAGATAGGCAGATGGCTACTAGCCATGCTTCCCTGGGGTCCAGCATAACACCTGCCATTCACAATAGAAATGGCACCCATTTTTCCCAAGTCGCTGAATGAAGGATAATATTTAACTGACCCCAGAGACCTAGTCTTTCTCATGACAACTCTAAATGACTTCTTTTTAGTCATCTTCTTAGTCTGAAAACTAAGTAAACCTAAAATATGGAAAGAAACAACTAGGTTAAAGTACAGAAGGTAGTTAAGCCCATTGGTCTGCAGGGTGGGCCACAGTGTAGGCCAAGTTCTCAGCTAACGAGTACTTCCAGGAAAACGAACACCACGGTAAGCCCAGTCCTTTCCATACCAGGTCAGTCTTAGAGGCAGAGCACCCTGGCACAGACTATGTATTTGCATTGATTTTTTTTTTTTAAAACCACTGAAATATATGGTTCTAGTGAATCCACAAATATTGTCAGGCACCTGTTTACAATCATTTCAAAGGTTGGTACCTTGCTTGGGGTGGAGTGGACCCCGGCTCCATTTATCCTTCAGTTTAATATTGTTTATATAGAGAATGGCATTTGAATTTACTAAGACCTGTAGTTGTAGCTTATTGTGTCCATGGTTATGAGATTGGTAGTAATTGTGTAATTGCTCAGCCAGCACAGTAGGGGTCTATAGTCAGTACCTAAGTAACAGATGTGGAAAGTGATTACAAAGACCCTGCTGGCTAGAACTGGGCAGGGCCCTACCTTGCAGCATTGCCATGATTATATACACTGTTGCAAGCTGTAAGTCACCATCTGGGATGCCAAAGACAAACTGTTTCTATTTGGGATGGAGTAACTAAAATCAATAACCATTTACATGACTGCTCGTTGAAGTTCATATTTGACAATTATAAATTTATGTTGGCAACACTGAATGTCTCAGTGTCTTTGCCCCCTTCAGTATGATGTCCAGAATGCTCATTTAACATATTTGAGTTGATAGTTGTTGTTTATTACTGAACTTAATTGAGTTAAATCTGTTTGTCCAAAGACCACATAGGCCCAGAAGATCCACAGGAATGGTCAGTGGAAATATCTTATTGGGTTCATTAATGCATGAGTGGCCGGCATTTCAGTCTTTTCGTTGAGCTAGCGGTGTCAGTGTCATTTTATACATTACTTTATTCATTGTGTGGCATTTTTCATGTTTCACCCTTAAATTCATGTGTATCACATGTCATGCAAAAGCAACTTTTAGAAAAGTCAATTTTATACACACCTAAGAAGATGGTGGTGGACACCATCCAGTTAACCACTATCAGTCATGCCTTGACTTCCCGCAAGTCTTATAAAGCTGGATGTTTTTAACCAACATTTAGTGTTGATTCAGCTATACGATGCCTGAGCTCCCTTTAATTTTGTCTTTCTTCTCCTTACAGTTTGTAGATAAAGTTGGAGAAAGCAACAATATGGTATAACAGCGAGGGAACTGAAGACTTTAAATGCTATACTATTTATAAAACCCTTTGAAGAATATCCAGCACAAAGTTAAGTTTCACAAACTAGCTTGTAAAATCCTTCCAGAAGTCTAAAACATACACCCTCCAAAGTTCCAACAGTTACCGAAGAAGCAGTGACAGCAGGCTGTGGTCAGGCGATCTGAGATCCGTGGCTGGAGAGGATGAAGCCTTGACGATGCTTAGTGACTTGAAGGCTGTTTCTTAGTTTTGCTGCAACGTGGGAAACAGCCATTTATAGAGAACCATGGTGTCTGTTACTTTTCTTTTTTTTTTTTTTAGAAGATTCAGGAACACAGGCATTTGATTTTTTTTTTTTTTTATAATGTCTATTTTGATGGCCCAGCTAATTCTAGGTGTGCTGGGTCACCAATAATGATGCCTGAATTGGATTAGATTATGTCGTCTCTGTGTATCAGCCCAGGGAAAGCCCAGTTTCATGTGTGAATCACTTTTTTTGTAAACATGAAAATAAAACTTTTGTGATCCTTTTGAATCTTTATATTTTGGAGCCAGATAAAAATCCAAAACTAAAAGATATCCTTTTTGGGATACGCAGAGGTCATTCTGAGCTGTTACTTCTCAGTCATAGCTGACCAAGTGCTTTCTTGACTCTACAACACTCTGGATGCAGAGATCTCTTGAGTGTGGCCTGGGTGTGTTCGTACAATCTGCTGCACACAGACGCCAAGCACAGCGTTCTAACTGTGGAGTAGTCTCTATCGAGGGTGTTGGAGTCAGATTTTGAGATCTTAAGTGACGCAACCAGATGTTCCCATGTCATGCTGTAGTACTTCCTACTGTGTTTTTAGGACATTTGGCCAGAGTTTCCCACCTTGGTTTCATACTTTGTGGTGACATTGAAAGTCTGTAGCATGTCAAGGGCTTGATTCTGTGACTGTGAAGAGTGCTGTTTATTTCATCGTGATTTCCCTCTTATTGTAACAGTCGAAAATGAGCATGCACCTCATCTGCTTCCTGCACCGTTCTCCATCTTGAGTTAGGAGAGAAGATGCCCCCAGTGACATGCAAAAACTATTACATCCTAACTAAACTCGCCATGGTTCCTCAGATGCGTGATGCTGACTTGGGGCAATCTTGTCATTCATTCCCTTCTGTTGCTAGTCTGCCAAGAGGAGCAACCATGGTTTCCTTCCTTCCCCAGGGCGGTAGTTTTCCTGTTGGACATGGGAGCACTTCCTCAGACGTACTACTACTTATCTTACCACTAATGATTGCACTATTTATTTTTAGCAGTCTCAAAGCTTTTTGATGCAGAAAATCATAATTGAAATTGTATTTATTTACAAACCATTTCTACAAGACAATACAATTACAATGTTTGTTGTTTTTAAATTTCTTGGTGCCAGGAGAATCCCCAGCCTTGCCGGTCTGCAGAAGGAAGGACTGGTTTGTAGTGAGATGGTTCATTGTGGATTACTGTCGTGTTTGGTACTTGGCATCTGACCTTATGGTGTAACCTGTGAAAACTCGATAAGTAGAGAATCCTACCTCAATAGCTCATGGGATATAATAAAAGACCTGGCGTTGTCTGACGTTCATCAAAAAGTCACCTTCCTGGAATTCAATGCTATGCTTTGAGAACTAACTTGTGTGAGGTGCCCTGTAGACAGTGGCTAGGTGTCACTGTTAGAACAGGAGTCTGCCATTTAAATCCACGTAGACATGACCCTATCAAAGTGGTTTTTGCACTACAGCAAACATCCCCTTTCAGCGTTCTGGTTTCAGAAAACACTGAACCTGAGAAGATGGGAGAAGCTCATAGACTTTAGTAAGGCAGAGGGCTGGGATGGCTTTCAGTTTCAGGTCAGTCTGCAGTGGAACTGGAATGCTTGCCAACACTGCACTTAGTCAGAACCTTGAAGAGGCTCTGTTTTTTTTTTTTTTAAAGAAAAAAAAAACCAGCCTTTTGACTTCTGTAAGCCCTCTTGTTGAGGGTTCCCTCACCCACCCCTTCTAAAATCAGCCTCTGTCTTTGTGACAAAAAAAAAAAAAGAACCCTTTGATTATTCCCCCAGATGGAGGAAAAGTTCCAGTACTCAGCCTTAAGTGTTTCTGTCATGTTCAAATGTACCTTCTGTAACAGAAACATGCCTGCAATGTTCTCCCTTACAGTTCTCTGGAATTCAGCTGCTTTAGAAGTCTCATGGTCAAATTATATACTCTAACAATGGCGTATTGTAAATACACTTGTCTTACCTCAATAAAAGGGTACTTTTCTATTCACTGGTGGTCAAGTTTATCTTTGAAATTTTGAAACTTAAATAACATAAAATAATCTACGTTCTTTAAAAAATTGGGCCTAAGTGCAAGTTTGTCTGTCAAATGGCCTTGACATTTTAATTTCTAAATTGCTTAAATACAGTCATATAACAACTAGATTAGCAAAACACATTTGGAAACTACTAATGTGTATAAAAGAATATTGAGTGGCTGGAGAGAGGGCCCAGGGGTTTGGAGCTCTTGCAGAGGATCCAGACTTGGTTCCTGGCCACCATGTGGCCCGGCTGATTGTATCATTCTTGGAAGGTTTTCCTGCTTCAGTCAAACCTTGAGGAGACTCCCTCACAAGCCTGCCCACAGGTGTCTCCTAGTTGATCCCAGTGACATCACAGTATCTTTGGAGGACAAAAAAAAAAAAAAAAAAAAAATGCTATCAGCATTAATTTGGGGCGTTTCCCTCAAAATATGATTTTGTTTCCTCTTCAAGAAATAGGTTTATTGTAGGGTGAGGGGATGGGTGTTGGAAGACAGTCCTTTCATTTCTCTTTGTTGTAAGCCACGAGAGTCAGAACTGTCACTGCTACTCGCTATAACAAGCTCACTGTAGGTTTTTTCTCAGTGTGTGTAGCTGAGCTTTTGAGGGAAATCCATTGCGGCTGCTGCCTTTAATTCCAGAATTCAAAATATTTTATTCTGGAAAAGGAATTTATTACCCTTGAATACTTGTGACCTGGATGAAGTGAATGTTCATCCATAGTATTTTCATCATAAATTCTGTTATAAGCAAAAAAAAAATAATAATAATGGGTCAGTGCACCCCTAACTTGCTAAGTATTTACTAAGTCCCATATTAAATATTAATTGTAGTTTATTGTCACTGGTAAATGGACATCTTGAGTCTGTTACGTATCTATCTCACCACTTGGGAGGCTGAAATTGTGGATTGCGTTGGGGTGGGCTACTCAGTCTAGGGGTTGTAACCCACCCCGCAATCCAGTTACTCCAGGGTCTCGGAGGGGCGCTACCTGGAAGGGAATGAGCTAAGACAGAAGAAGGAGGCCAAGCAGATTTGTCAAAGCCTCCGTTTATTAGGGTCATGGTTGCTGCTTATATATGGTAAGGAATGGGGGGCAGGGCAAGGGATCTCGCCGCATGGTTCCGGTCACGTAGGCCAGGCTACACTCGGACAGACAGGCCAGAAGTCACAAGTTGCCACACCTGGTTCCCTGGGTAGCTGGAATGTGAGGCGTATTCTGCTAATAGATTAACAGTTAATTGGGTGAGGGGCAGATTCTGTCAATAGAACATAATTATGGGTGTGAGGTTCTCTGCAGACTCCCTAGAGTGATGGTTTCTGTAATGATTGTTAGGGGGGAAATGGCTCCTGACATGAAATAGGATTGCCAGGACTTCATGGCCAGCCTAGACTAAATAATGTAACATTGTCATGACTGATAGATGATTGGTTGTAGACAGACTTTTTTTGTTGGGCCAGCCAGCTCCCAAATTACACAAAGACATTAATTATGAAAGCTCAGCTGAGAACTTAGGCTTGTTTGTAACTAGCTCTTGCAATTTAAATTAGCCCATAACTGTCAATCTCCATGTTGCCAAATGACTCATGACTTTTACCTGTTCTCTAGCATGTCTTGCTCCCTCTGCATCAGCAAGTCCAATGACTCCATCCTTCCCAACATTCTTACCCGGAAAATCCTGCTTAGCTATCGGCCAGTCAGCTTTTTATTAACAATGAGAGCAACACATTTTCTGTGTACATGATTATTCCACAGCAATTGGTGATAGGTGATTGATAGATAAATGATTGGATGGATGGATGGATGGATGGATGGATGGATGGATGGATGGATGGATGGATGGATGATGATGATCTAGCGCATCTCCCAAACCTTATCCTGGAGCCAGAAGTTGTAACTTGAGTCCTGTTGTTCAACGAAGTAGGATGTGTGAAAGTTACTGGTTGCAGTACTCCTATGATATTACTCAGTTGTGAGGACCTCACTAAATGCCACTAGCATGTCTCCCCTTACCTGTCTGCTTGGGCCAAGACAGCTGGATCTTCTGGCTCCTATCCCTTGCTACTTTTACACTAATTGGGCAGCAAGTGATCCCTGAGGCTCCAGTCACTTATGTATATCCATCCCTGGCCTTTCATACGTAATATTGAACCATTGGAAATGCGGTTATCCAGCTTTGCTCTGTCCCCTCCAATCCCTCGTGTGTTGAAGTCAGTTTTTTGGGAGCAGAGGTCTCAGCCACAGTGAATGAAGTGAACCTCTGCTTCACATCCTGAACTTTATGCAGGGTAACTTGCTAGAGGACAGGATGGATCACCAAGGGCAGCATTTCCTCCCTAGGAAAGCAAGATGCCAGGGCAATGGAAATCACTCTTGATGTCACCAAATGGGCATAAATCATTAGTTCTCAGGTCAACCTCTATAAAGGGGTGGGGAGGACTTTGTAATTAGGGTTATGATAAAGAACTCTCCTAAGAGGAAAGTAATAAAGTAAACTTACTCCCTACTTGAATTTTCTGTAAACACCAGCGTGCTTCAATCCCTGGCAGGTGTAACTGCTTAAGAGGGGCAGTGGAATTCTTGGGCCTTGAGCCTTCCGGTGTGGCGCTGCCATTGTAGTGTTAATGCAAAGCCCTGCTGCGGCAGCCTCAAAAGACAGGGCTGACAGCTGGTGTCAGTACCCCACTGAAAAGATAATTAGGGAAAGAAGAGAAAGGTGATGTTTCTCCATGTGCATTGGGACAGGGACTAAAGGGGCCCAGTGAGCCCCAGTTCATCTTTGGGTAGGCTGATCCGAGTGGCAGCTCTCAACAGCAGTAGACTGAGCAGAAGTGCAGTAGGTACACAGCCCTGCTTACAGTGTGGCCAGTAATGCTTTGTCATCTAATGAAGTCATTAGCTAGGCATGAGGGCACACACCTGCAAATCCTGGCGTTTACACAGAAGTGTAAGGTTCAGGTTATCCTATTGCTGCTAGGCCTAGGTGAGGAGCCTTCTTCCTGAAAAAAAATGAACTGAGCGCCTCTTCCCGTGTGCTTGAGCCTGTGAGGCAGCTCTGATTTCAGTGATTGTGTAAGCGCTGGTACTGACACTACCCTTCGCTGGGCATCCAGTCAATTCAAATATGTGTAACTTGAGGGGATGTCTCTTTAAACAGTGCCCGATGGTTGGTTTTCAAATGGAATCTGGGCATCCTAGAGCCAAGTTTCAAAATCCAAGTTATGTTAGTGGCAAAGGCAAAAATGTTCTTTAATGAATATTCCTTTAAAGAAGGCATAAAAGCCTGTTTGACAACCTGTCTGTGCATACTGTCAGCAGAAGAAAGTTCAGTATTCTGACCTGTCGTATTTTGAGCCAAACAATGGGGCCCCCTCTGTTGGTTCGAAGAGCCTCTGTCTTTAAAGCCTGTGATTTGACAGCAGTATCTTCCTGGAGGTGGTGCCCTCTGCCAGCCTTTCAGAGCAGCATCTGGCATGCTGTCCGTGGTGAGACTGATATTGATAACATGTCAGAGTCATTCCCTTCATTTGTTCAACAAAATGGAAAATGGCAGCTTTGACGTAAGACGCCTACTTACCGATTCACCAGACGTACTAAGAGTGTACTTATCCTTCCTTGGACCGGAAGTACTGATTCACCAGATAAACTGAGCGTGTACTTAATCTTCCTCGGACTGGGAGTTTCTCTTGGTGATCTTGGTGATTTCCTTTTCCTGTTCCTCTTTCTAAAACGTTCATGTGTTTTTTTAAAAGATGTTTTATTACATTTCTTTATGTGTGTGTTTGTGTGTGTGTGTGTGTGTGTTTGTGGGAGAGGGGGAGAAGGAGGGGAGAAGAGAGAGAGAACATGGGCCACAGCATACATATATAAGTCAGAAGACAATTTTTCACCTTAAAGACCCTCAAATTTGCCAAGCTTTGCTGTACCCACTACGGCGGCTCCCTGGCCCCTAGTGCTTCCTGTAATCTGTCCCCTAAGGCAGTGGGTACAAGCCACCACTTCAGCAGCTCTGGCTGCTCTGACGAGAGGAACCGTCCACAAATCCCTACATATAAACTTCTATTTTCCAGTCCCACCAGCTATGATAAATGATCAGCTGTCAACTTGATGAGTGAGGTTCAGAGCCCTTGGCACGCCGTGAAAGGTTACCTTCTTGTTGTTGTTCCTTTTTTGAAGAAGTATTTTTAATTAAAATGGAATTATATCACTTGTCCCACCCTTCCCTCCCTCCAGCCTTTACAAACTGCCCTCTCTCAAACCCCTTGCATGTTCCCCTCAAAAGTCAATAACCTTTTTTTCTTTGATTCTGTTTGCTATGTACACATGCATATGTGTCACAAATATATATAAATACAATCTGCTGAGTCCATTTTTGTTGTGTGGTGTAAATGGTTTCCAGGCTAATCACTCTGGATTGGACAACCAATAAGGAGGTTCACGCCTGGGAAAGACTAATTCTTCTCCTAGTAGTCATTAGTTACCTGTCATCCTTTGTCTAGAGGTGGGACCTTGTAAATGCCCCCCTTCCGTGTTAGTCCATCCATTGATCCTGTGTTGTTGCAGTCTTGTGTGTGCAGCCTTTTCTTGCAGAGACTGTTTCACAGCAGACTTCCCGGTACTCTGGCTCTTACCCAGGTGTCCCCCGTGCCTTGGGTGCTTGAGCTCTGATGTAGATTTATCCACTGGGCCACACTGGAGGGAATTATCTCGATCAGGTTTATCAGGGTGGGAAACCCCATGTGGGTGGCACCATTCCTTGGGCTCCAATCCTGGGCTGTGTATAAAAAGAAAAGGTGAGATGAGCAGAAGTGTTCATTGCTCTTTGCTCCTCTGGATGAAATGTGACCAGCTGCTCTCATCTCCATGGATGTCATGTGACCAGCTGCGAATCTCTGTAGACATCACATGACCAGCTGCTCTCGGCTTCCACCACCTTGGCTTCCTCACTATGATGGACTGTGTGTTTGAACTGTAAGCCAAAATAATTCCCCTTTTGTTTTTGTTAAACTCTGTATTGCCATGTGGCTGTGGCGTTATCTCATTTTTGGGAGTGGGGAGGGGTTGAGACAGGGTTTCCCTGTATCTCATTTTTTTTTACATGTCTTGCTTCCTTGGCAGCTGGCTGGAGTCTCCCAGACTCCACCCTTCTTGTATATCTGCTTGGATTTCCCACCTGGCTCTATCCTGCCTTGCCATAGGCTGAAGCAGCTTTATTAGTCAATGAGAACAACACATATTCACAGTGCACAGAACATCTTACACCCCCCCCCACACACAATCGGACCTTATAACAGGTCACAGGAATTTGTTTTCCTCTTCCAGCATGTGTGGACACAGCAGAGAAAGCTCTCAATGGAACCTCACAGTGCTGACTTTCTACCCTGTAGAGCTAAATAATGAATTTCTGCCACCTACACACTACCTATCTGTTGTAGTCAGCTCTCTGTCACTGTAATGAATGATGAAGATGATACAGCTTACTGAATGAAAAGTTTTATTTTTGACCCCCATTTTTGAAAGTTGTATGTATTAGACACTGGTAACAAAAGAAAATGGCACTGTCACGAGGTGTAGCTTTGTTGGGATAGGTATGGTCTTGCTGAAGGAAATGTGTCACTGTGGGGGTGACTCAGGTCTCATATATGCTCAAACCACATCCAATATCTCAGTTCATTTCTGTTGCCTTTGGATCAAGATGTAGAATCCTCGGCTCCCCAGCAACATGTCTGCCTGCATGTCACCGTATTCCACACCATGGTGGTAATGGACTAAACCTCTGAAACTGTAAGCTACTATCTCAACTAAATGTTTCATTTATAAGAGTTACCGCAGTCATGATTTTCCTTCACAGCAATAGAAACTCTAAGACAGAAGTGGGGTATTGCTGTGAAAGGCCTGACCATGCTATTGTTTAGAGACATTTGGACTTTGGGAGTTTGGGTTAGGAAAGCATGGGAATGTTTTTACTGTTGCCTAGTGGGCCAGCCGTACCAGTAGGAGCATGGAAGACACTGGTGCTGGGTGACTTGAATTGGGGGTGGGGGCTGGATCAAGAGGTTTCAGTGGTCAAGAACTTGTGTATGTTGCCTACAAATTGATCTTGTGATATTTTGGTGAAAAATGTGGCTGCTTTTTGCCCTCGTATGAAAACTTTGTCTGAGGTTAAAGTGAAGAGTTTTAGAGTAATTCCCTTGGCAGAAGAAATCTCAAAAAAGCCTAGAATAGACTGTTTTATGGTTACTAGTGTTAACTCTAATGAAGAGGTATGATAAAAAGGAAAACCTAAGTAGGAAAAATTACAAAATGTAAATTTTGACTAGAAAAAGAGTACCAGGAAGTGGAATAGAGCTAAATTCTGTATTCAAGGAGATAAACAGATTAAGAAATGGCATACAGGGAGTGGTGACCTCAGAGCAAAATTCTACCCTGCTAAGTTTTCAACTAAGGAATTAAAGGAAAGCTTAGAACTGGGCATAGTGGTGAATGTCTTTAATCCCAGTGTGCATGAGAGGCAGAGACTGGCAGATCTCTGAGTTTAAGCCCAGCCTGGTCTACAGATCCAATTTCAGGACAGCCAGTCTGTGAAGGAAACCATCAAAAACAGGAAGTTGGTAAAGATGCTATTGAACGAGGGGGCCATGTTCCAGGTCCAGTGAACAGCAGACCTTGGCAGCTTGGGTCATACGGTTCTAGAGTTAAGAACAGACGAAAGGGGCTGTGGAATTTACCTCCACGGCTGGAAAGAGTTGCAGAGGCCAGGCTTGTGTCAGAGATGTGATGAAAGCTTGGAGAGTCCATTAATGAAGCTGTGAAGGTGAAGCCTGGATTACCTTGGAGACCCCAAGTTGTTAGACACGCCAGAGTCATGGGATACCTGCTGTGGAGAGCGGCTAACAGGGAGTGGAACCAGCCTAAGAGAAAGAAGTGTGAAGGTGTAAGTCAGAAACAATGCCACACCAGTTTGGAATTATGATTAATAGGGTGGTATTTATTTAAAGAGGAAAAAACTTACAGATCACCGTCCCAGACAACAGCTCTCTGAGCAACCAGGAAGGGAGTCTAGTCGCTGGCTGAGCAGGAAGTGAAGAGAGAGAGGAGAGGGAAGTGGCCGCTTTTTTAAAGGGAGAGAGACCACGCCCCAATGGGCTGGTATCTCAGCGACTATAGGCTGGAGGAGCGGAAGGACCTCCCGCAACAAAAGTGTGCTGCAGTCAACAAAACTGAAAGGAGTTGGAGATCTGAAAAGCATTTTGACATCAGACATAGAGATGCAGAGCTTGGAGCTTGCCCAGTTCATTTTTGGCCTTTCTTTGACCCAGTGTTTCCTTACTCTGCTCCCTTCCCTCCATTCTGGAGTGGTAATTTATATTCTGTGTCATTATATGTTGGAAGAATATGATCTATTTTTTGATTTTGGTTTTATAGGGGATTACAGTTAAGAGATCACATGAGTCTCAGAACAGACTAAACTTTAGACTTTTAAATAAGTTTGAGACAGTTATAGACTATTGCATCTTTTGAAATTGGACTGAATACATTTTTACATTATAATATTACTATGGTTACAGACTTTTGGGGACCAGGGAGTAGAATGTGGTGGTTGTTTGAAAAATCATGCCACTCATTATTAGGACGTGTGGCCTTGTTGGAGGAAGTATGTCAGTGCAAAGGCTGGCATTGTGGTCTCGTATCATGTCCATTGTCTCAGTTCAGTTCCTGTTGCCTTTGGATACAGATGTAGAATTCTCCAGCAACATGTCTGCCTGCACACTGCCATATGCCCAGCTACCATGCTTCCTGCCATGATAGTTGAGTATACTTCTGAACTGTAAGCTGCCACCTCAAGTAAATATTCTTTCTAAGAGTTGCCATGGTCACAGTGTCTCTTCCTGGCATTAGAAACTGTGACTAGGACAGACACAGAATCTCAGGCGTCTGCCAGTCTTTAGCTTAGGCTTGTCTCCAACTAGCTCTTATAATTCAAATTACCTTGTTTCTATTCATCTGTGTTCTGCCATGTGGCTCAGTTGCCTCTGCTCTGTACTGTATGTCTGACTTCAGAGTTTCTCTGCCGTAATCCGAGCCTAGATCCCTCCTCCTCTTTCTCTCTTTGCCTGGAATTCCCGCCTATCTCTCCTGCCTGACTATTGGCCATTCAGCTTTTTATTAAACCAAACACAGTGACACATCTCCACACAGGGAAACAAATATTCTACAACACATTTCTTTACTTTTTTCTCTTATCTTTATGCCTTGTGCTCTGATTATCTTCTATGTCTTACAAATGATTGTTATCAGCAGATAATGACAAATCTAACTGCTCTAAACAAGAAAACATGAAGGAAAGATCATCACACCCCAAACCTGAGCTCTGGAATTCATCACTAACACTGCCCCACTCAATCTCGAACCTAGATCTATGCACGCTGTGCCAGGGGTGCCTTCTGTCCCAGCCAAAGGCTCCATCAAACACACGTGCATGCTAGAGAAGCCTGGGGGTGCAAAGGTAGGGAGGCATTTGCTATCTACGCAGAAGAAAAACTCCACCATCCAATGACATAATTCCACAACCCACAGCTTAGAACACGCTGACTCGCCGTTTCTCCTCCCCAAAATGTGACTTTTTAGCAAGTTATTAATGCTTGTTTTGATTTCCTTATATTTTAGTTGGTATTTAACCCATTCCAATTTTTCCTCCACCTTCAGACACCATCACAATTTCAAATCTATTGGCTATCGCATCATTTAGCTTGAGCTATCAAATTTTAAACTACATTTGTCTTTGTGTGTGTGTATGTGTGTGTGTGTACATCACCATGTATGCATTCAGAGGAAATTTTACAGGCACCTGTTCTCTGTTCTCTCCTTCCACGATGTCAGTCCTAGGGCTAATATTGAAGTCATTAATTAGACGTGGCAGCAAGCCCTTGGCCTGCCGAGCTATGTCGCCTGTCACTTGGGCTCTCACTATCACTTCACACTCTCTGACTTGCTTGATATCAGGCCCCCGAAAGGACTCCTTTTTCCTGATTGCTCTCCCTCACCCCTTTTTCTTGATTTTTACTTGTTGAGTTTCTGAACACCTATTTCCACAGCTCTGTCATTTCCTCTTGTTGATAGCTTCATTCGCGCCCAGTCTTCCCCCACTTTTTTTTTTGTTTGTTTTGTTTTTGGAGACATGGTTTCTCTGTGGTTTTTGGTGCCTGTCCTGGAACTAGCTCTTGTAGACCAGGCTGGCCTCGAACTCACAGAGATCCGCCTGCCTCTGCCTCCCGAGTGCTGGGATTAAAGGCGTGCACCACCACCGCCCGGCTTTTATAGAATTCTTACAGTTCCTACAGTGGATTACTCCTTTGTTTAGAAAAGCATAAGCTAAGTTAATGGCTTCTTTGTTGGGCTCCCAAGTCTGGCATTTCCAGTCACCTATTTTGCATTCCTACTTGGATGTCAAATACATATTTTGGTTTCTGCATGTTCATAGTTTGTTTCCTTAGGAAGCCTCTGCTGCTCCTATAAACTGTTTCATTTATCCGTGCTTAAGGCAAGAATCTAAGCCTTACCCTTGCTGATTTATTTTCTCAAGCTCTCATTTGCCCACAAATCCTATATCTTCCACCTCCAGAATCATTTCTAGCTCTCCATTCCTTGCCACTCAAGCCTACCATCACAGCCTTTCATCTGTGACCACATTTTCATATATGCTAACCAGTGCCAAGCCCCCTTCCCTGTGCCCCTACAGTGTTACTGCCTTCTCTGCCTCGTAGAAACCAAGCTGTTTGCTGTCTCTCCATTCCTTTTCATTTGTCTGTAGTGAGTAACCAGAATACCAATTCCAAATCCCTTGGAATCTTACTTTTCTAATCCCCTTTGACTTTCAGTCCCTCTAAAGTAAGCCCAGCACTTCCCCTTAATATCATCTTGCCTGCCTTTACTTACTAACCTCAGCACTGTTTGTCACTAGCTTAGAGGCTGTCCCCCCCTAACTAGAGGATTAGCTTAGGACCAAGGGGGAGGCTTGGCTTGAAGGAAGAGGTGGACATTTAACACGTATTTGTTAAATCATTGACTAGACAGATACTTGAGTGAATGGCTGATGTCCAGTTCCTCTGAGGTTCCCTAACCTTTTCATGTTCACTGGGGTGATTCATCTTCAGCCATAGCTCCTCACGTTATCCGTCTGTACGATGACAGAATGCTTTGGGCGGCTAACAGGGAAAACAAAGCTGATGATGCTGGTCCAGTCAGAATGTCTCCTGGCTGGTGTGGTCAATTCCTAAACAAATAATATCCGCTCATCAATCATTGTCCTATTTCTGCCAACTAGATCTCCCCAGAGGAGTCATCAATCAGCTTGCTTCCGAAGACTGACAGCCTCACCCCCGTAGTCTCCTCTTCCCTGTACAGACTCATACTAAGAGTACTAAAAAGCCCCAGGTTGCAACAGGGTTAGCAGACTCGCAGGCAGAGGGACAGCGATTGAGGGGCTCTGGAAAAGGCCAGAACATGAAGGTAAGCCACAGACACCCGTTCTGAGAAGTGTTCCTTTATACCTAGGTTATATTTAACGAGCATTCTAGCGACAGGATATTTGAAGAATATGCCTTTAGTCTAACCGTTTGGCTTTGATGAGTAAAATAACGTATTTCCCAGTTCTTAATTTGGGTGAAGTTATGAAATTATATATTCCTAGTTTTTAAAGTTACTTTCTGTGGATTATCTAGAAGGTAGGATCATATACTAGACTGAAGAGCTTATTATCTGGTTTGAGGAGAAGGCAGAAAATCCGGCGCAATTCGATGGACCTGTTTGGGTGGTGTTTCTTGTAGGGCTCCAGCAGCCTGGTGATGACAGCCTTGGCCCTTCTCCTGGTGCTGTCTGTCCTGGGAAACTCCAGCGGCGCTCCGCAGGTAATCGCATTGCATGCAGAGCAGACAGCTTTGGCGGGGGCTGTGCGGGCGTCTTGGCTTTTTCTTCCTTTCCGTTCCACTACCCTGCCTTAACTGCTTTTCTCTCTTCTCTGGGCTGCAGAGACTCTTTGAGAGGAGGAACTGGACCCCCCAAGCTATGCTCTACCTGAAGGGCGCTCGTGAGTCCCACACTCTTCATTCTCTTCACCGAGGTGATGGGAGGCACCCGGGGAGCTGGAGCCTGGGGAGACAGGGTTACAGTTGGCTCCAGTAAATAGCTGGGATCTCAGAGAATCCAGAAATGGTAGGCGAGGGCCGGCGGGGCCGAGAAAGATTCCGTGATATCCAGAGAGATTCCACTAGAGAGGACCCCGGTGTCGGGGCTCACTACGGTAACCCCAGCACTCTCGAAGCTGAGGCAGGAGAACCTTGGCGAGTGTGAAGCCAGCTTGGGCCACCTAGAAGGTTTCAGGTCAAAGGAAGATCCTATTAAGGAAGGTGGGAGGAGGGAAAGGGGAGGAGGGAAGAAAGTGGAGGAGAAGGGTTCAAGAATGGGGGAAGGAAGGCAAAGGGACGGGGAGTAGAAAGGAAAATAAGGGAAGGGGTTCAGTTGGTTAACTGAAAAAACTACTGGTTTTCGTCGTTTTGTGTGTGTGTTTGTGGGGTTTTTTGTTTTGTTGTTGTTTTTTGTTTTTGTTTTTGCTTTTGTTTTTCCAAACAAGGTATCTGGGGCTGGAAAGCAATCAATGAACTTGACGAAAACAAAAATTAGGAATTGGCAGGGTGGGGGGGGGGGGAGATGTTCGAACCCTCCTGGGGCTGCTCTCCGAGGCAGGGTCGCCTCCCAAGCCGCCACCTGCGGCCTCTCCTGGCCAGGGGTTTGGCGGTCAGAGCTCAGCCGGTGTCTCCCCCGCAGAGGGCCGTCGCTTCATCTCCGACCAGGGCCGCAGGAAGGAGCTCGCTGACCGGCCGCCTCCAGGTGGGTGAGCCCTGCGCCCGACGGGTGGTGGTGGGGCGCCCCACCTGCTCTCCCCTGCCCCCCAAGCAGGCAGCTAGGACTGCCTTGCAGACAGAGGGCAGAGAGATTGTCCTGGTTCAAGAAGTCCACCCGGGTATTTATTTATGGATCTAAGACCCTTGCTCTTTTTTCCTCCTAAACACCAATTACTATCAAAGAACTACTTAAAAGTTTCAGATATACCTCCTCCTTAAATTACTAGAAACAGCTACCAAAAAATTTTAAACCGAACATAATTAGGTAAGTCATTAAAACAGGACCAGGTGTGAAGGACTGAGGAAGGATCAGTTATTTTCTAGGGACAAGTTCAGGTTAAGCTATCCAATCTCGAGTGGTCAGCCGGAAATATTTGTACACTGAGTAACACTAGATAACTATGTGTGAGAGAGGGAGGGAGGGAGGGAGGGAAGGAAGGAGGGAGGGAGAGAGGGCAGCACAGGCAGGCAACAATAATGACTAAAGAAAAGGTCATGAATTTGAGAGGGGGCATAGGCAGAGTAGCGGGGGCAAAGAGAGGGTGGAAATGATGCAGCATTCATGACATATGAAATCCCCCCGCAAGAAAGAGAAAGAAGGAAGAAAGGAAAGAAGGAAAGAAAGGGAAAGAAGGAAGGAAGGAAGGAAGGAAGGAAGGAAGAATGGAAGGGTTAGGGACTTTTTTTTCTTGATGAACTAAATGTCGTTTCAGTTTAAAAAGAAGAAAATTTGATTTTAGTAAAATGTTGTATACAAATTCTAAGAATAAAAGCTATACTGATTTTGAGAATTCTTCAACACCGCTGAACATAACCGTAGCAGACGTTTCACGAGTTTTTGTTTCGTGTTCCTCAAGTCTGCAGTGTGATTAACCTTATTTTGTGAGGGTAAATATGCTTCTTCTCTTTCTGTTACTCTCAATTAAACTCAATGTCTGCATCGAATTGGGAGTACGTCATCTGGCAACTTAAATTTGAGATAGAGTTTGACACCGTACACCTATAGTGCGTGTAAACTGAGGAATTTGAAATAGGTCTGAGTATTTAGCAAATGTATCTTCGGTCAGCTAATTACCTTATATGTGGCCAAGAAGGCAGATGTTTATCTAAAACTGATTTGGGAGAAGTAAAGTAGGAAACTCAGGCTCCAATGAAATCACACCTGAATCTTTGGCTCAGGCAACTGCTGTAAGCCATCACAGGGAAACTTCACCCCCTTCTAAGCCCCGAAGTGGGGGAAGTGCAGATGCTCCTACCCTGTCTTCCTTTTGTTGTTGTTGTTTTTTGTTTTGTTTTTGTTTTATGAGACAGGGTTTCTCTGTAGCTTTAGTACCCGAGACTGGAACTAACTCTTGTAGACCAGGCTGGCCTCAACTCAAACTCACAGAAATCTGCTTTGCTTCTGCCTCCGAGTGCTGGGATTAAAGCATGTGCCATCACCGTCCGGCCTCCTGTCTTCCTGTTGTGACATAGTCCCTAGCATACGGTGTACATTGCTCTTCCATCCCTGAGTGTAAACACAGCAAAAACAACTGGAAGTCATTTCCAAGAGACGTACGATATCTCAATTTATGAAGATCGTCATGAAGCCAACGAGACTTCCTCATCAGTGGTCACTTGCCACCAGCTTTACTACCTAAGTCCAATCCCTCAGAGGGTGCATGTACGGAAGGAGAGAGGAGACTCCCCAGAGTTGTCCTCTGACTTCCACAAGAGTGTGGGCACATGCATGTGCACGCATGCACGCACACACACACAACACACACACACACATAGGACAGCACTAAATAAAATGCTATATAAATGATTACTTCATTTTCAAAACTCAATATGCAGTGTAGCCTGCTTACAGATCAAGGGTTGGCCTCAACAGAGGCCTTCCTAATCTCACACTGCAGAGCAAGCTTCCTTTACATGAAGGTTCAGTGGACGCAAATATCCGAGTGCTATTTATTTACAACATTGAATGGGCATGAAACTAAACGCTGGTGTGTTTATATGAATATCAAGGCTGTATACATTTCTGTTTCTCCAGAAAGACGAAACCCGGATCTTCAACTGCTGACTCTCCCAGAGGCTGCAGCCCTGTTGCTGGCTTCCTTGCAGAAACCACAAGAAGGTACAGATGTGGTGACCTCTCTCAGTTCTGGACTAAGAAACTTTGCTAACTACCGAGCCTCTGCCTAGACCTGCAGAAATGCATATTCAATGAAACCAATGTGCTTCCCGTTAAAATTAGCCCCAAGAATACAAAAATACAACTTTGACAAGAGTGGGGAGTAGTATATGAATTTCCTGACCCCTTACCTGTTCCTAGGGACATTTATTTGTTGGTTTGCTTTCAAATACAGTGTCTTATGTACTCCAGGCTGGCCTCAGATTCCCTATGTAGCAAAAGCTGTCCTTGAACCTCTTATCCTCCTGCCTCCACCCAATAGTGGAAACTGAAGGAGCTCTAATCAGCTTTATTGTTTTATAACTAAAGCCTAAAAATATGAAATAATCAAAATCCAGTTGCTCATTATGCAAAATTAAACCAAATGAAAGTACTGATTGCCAATTCCTTTTCACTTTTGCATACAGCAGTAGATATGGCTCACAACAGACAGGGCCAGCTTTGACTGTAGGCCCTTGTCATCGGCACCTCCCTGTCTAGCTTCTTCTAAGCCAGGGGTGGATGTCATCTTCAGTCACTCTGTCCAGGTGGTGAGGAAGTACTGGAGGAACTGGGCCATCTTGGTAATAATGGAAGCTAGGTCTTTGGAAGTTCACAAACTGGGTGTACACGCTTGTTCTGTCCGCTTTGATGAGCTGTATGACCCTGACATAGGGGTGGTCCTGCAACTCTAGGGACCCATTGTAATTAGGTGTGTAGTGAGTGTGTGTGTATATGTAGTATGTGTATGCGTGTGTACAGAAGTGTGGACATATATGTGGGGACTAGATGTTGTCACTGGATATCTTGTCAATCACCCTCCACTTTAGTCTTTAGGACAGGTCTCTCACTGAGCCTGGAACTCACCAGTTCAGCTCTCTGGCAGGTCAGTGAGCTTTCAGAGATTTGTCTGTCTCCACACACCACCATTGGGGTTACTGGTATGTGTCATCATGTCTGGCTTTTTCTGTGAGTTCTGAGAATCTAAACTCAGGTCCTTATGAGCACTTTATTGACTGAGCCCATCTCTCCGTTCCCAATCCTATTATTAAGAGTAGACATCATTGCTGGGCGATGGTGGTGCATGCCTTTAATTTCAGCACTCGGGAGGCAGAAGCAGGTGGATCTCTGTGAGTCTAAGGCCAGCTTGGTCTACAGACTGACTTCATAGCTACTGGAAAACTCTGATTCTTTTTTTTAAGAGTAGACATCATCACTTGGGCATGGGAAAAGTGAGAAGAGGCTGGATAATATACAGAGGATGCTCTGTCCAGATGACTGGCTTTAACTTAAAGGTGCAAAACAATAACCAAGTCTCGAGGTCCTTGGGAAAAGAACTAAGAAAGGATGGCAATGGACGGACAGTAGGAGTGAGTGTTGGGAAGATGGACAGAGCCAGCCACCAGGCTACAACAAAGAAAGGAGAGTTCATTTTAAGGGAGAGGAGGAATGCCATTCCAGGTCCCCATTTCAAGTGTTTGGGGGAAACACATAAATGTGTTAATTATTGAAATGGGTTTTTTCACATATTTACTTAGGTGTGAGGTACATTCTGACCACATTGTATACACGATGGTCAGAGGTTAACTTTGGGATCAGTTCTCTCTTCCACCATGTTGGTTCTAGGAACTGAAATCAGGTTGTCAGGCTTGACCTCAAGCACCCTAATGAGCTATGTCACCTCACAAGCCCTAACGAATTGACATGCTTTGAGCAACTTGTCTCTAGAGATTAACTAAAGAAGCAAAGCTTTATTAATCTAAATAATGGAAGCATTTTGGATTCCCATATGATGTGTCAATCACTAATCTGTAATATTTTTATTGCAGAGTCTCTATGTATGTATCATCTGGAAGGCTCTTACATCATAAACTTAAATTCCAGTGGAGTTTGCACTGGGATGTTTTCCTGATCCACCCCTATCCCTTCAGTGTGTGTGCATCTATGTACCAGTGTGTCCATTCACGCATCTGTGTGTCCATGTGTCCACACTTTCCTTCCCTCTAGAGAGAAGCACATTATTTACAACCTATCTTTCTGAGGGTATAAGTAATTGAGGTACACCAGGATTGGGATTATATTGTGACTGGGGGAATGTTTTATCTAGAAGGCAATCTTGGGGAAAGTAAAATCTATGGCATGCATTCTGCCTCAGCCACTCCTCTCTCCCTACTTCAGGGTCCATCCCTTCTACTTTATATTTCGTGTACCATGAGCTTTCTACTCTCTAATCTTTATGAGACACTTTAGGCCTGGTATTTTTGCATTCGCATCCAGCTAACAAGTGTCTTTACCTTTGGTCTCATTGCTTACCCAAAAGAAATCACCTGATGAGTATTTTCAAATGTGTTCCCCCATATCATCCTTCTCCTGCAAGGGACATGTCACCAGGAAACATAGGTCACACCACCTTGATGCCAGTGAATGGCTATGAAGGCAGGTGTTTAGACTGGAGGCATGTTAATCAGTGCAAGACACACAAACCCTTTACACTTCTGCTAAACTTGCCCCATGGCACTTTCATTTGTTGTAGAGATTTGGATCTTGGGAGCTGGGATGTAGCTCAGTTGGTAGAGTGTTTGCCCGGCACACATGAGGCCCTGGGGTTCAATCCCCAGTATTGCACAAAAAAGCGTATGGTAGTATGTATCTGTGATCTCAGAGCTTGAGAAGTGGGGCAGGAGGATCAGGAGTTCCAGTACATCCCCAGATGCATAGACACTGGGTATAAATTTTGAGTTGCCAGCTATGTTCTGATGTGAAAGGTGAAATTTTAAAGCCAAACAAATCAAAAGCCAATTTGTAGTAGAATTGTTAATAGCATAGACCATTGAATTGCTTCAACTTTAGGAGTCAACTATCTTTTTCTTGAGCTTCTGTTCCTCTCTCTAAAACCAAGAATATAAGAGTTCACTTTAAGTTTGTTTTTCTTTCTTACAGATGAAGGAGGGAATTTTGATCAAAGCAGATTCCTGGAAGACAGACTGCTGAACTGGTGAAGATGCACCAGAGCACACTCAAGTGTAGTTCTATTCATGGTGAAAACCGTAGCCACACGATTAGGGCCCATTCACCCTTCCTTCCACACTTGTAACCCTAGACACCAGTACCTCTAGGATTAGTCCTTCAGAAGTACGACACATGGGATTCTGAACACTGTCAAGTTCTATTGTCTTGGGTTGACATCACCTGTCTTACGTAGGCTTGGGTTTTGTATGGCCTTGAGAATGCCGGGGTGGAGAATGCAGACTTGTTCTTTCTTTCCCTTGTAGTCAGGCCCTGATGAATCTTAGCAGTTTGTTCCTCATCCTATCACCTTTTTGGGTGTCACTCACCAACAGTTCTCCCAACCCCCTTTCCTCATCCCCGGTAAGAGAGAAGGTATGGTAGGATTTGTGTGGCTTTTTATAACTCATTGAGGAGAGGTCAGTTGAGGAGGGAGGCGAAGAGAAGATGCCTGGGATAATGCTCCCATAAAAACACATATTATCTATGACTGCTGAGACAGAGGACCCTCCATGATGCAGAAACCCTTGGAAGGTCTGTGAAGACCCAGGGTTGGGAGTCTCTTTGTGTTTCAAGAGGATCCACTTAGAAACTTGGACCTTAAAGTCGCTGGAAGATGGTGATGGAGTTTGTGAGAGCATATGCTCCCCAAAGGTACAAAATAGCTTGAGGTATCCTGCTTTCTGTGACTGAAAGAGATGTCATCATGACTTTGCATTAAGGTACTCCCATGACACAAGTGTACTCCATCTGCATGATTTATGTTTCCAAATCCAAACACACATGCAGGCACACACACACACACACACACACACACACAGTTGGGGGTGTGGGGTGTGAGGGTGAGATTCCCCACAGCCAGCAAAATAACTAACTTGGGATTACAGCATGATCACTGTGGTATTTTTTAACCGAATCAGTTCAGAGTCATTAACCATAAGTGCCCAAGTGACAAGTACTGATTCTTATCGTCCCCAGCTTATGGCTATTACTTTGTAGCTATAGAATATTTTTATGTGAATATCTCTGTAATCTGAAATTTTAAGTCAGCTGTGTTAAGTAATCAAAACCATGTATATATGTTTTGTCTGCTTCTCAGTTCATAATTAAATAATAAAACTATATTCAAGTTAATGTACCATTGATTTTTGCCAAAAATGTCCAAGTACTAGAAACTGTGTGGCCTTCTGATAGGCACCTGTCACTAGTCCTGACTTGACTTAAAAGTGGATTTACTAGAGTGTCCCATATCCAACTTATTAAGTACTGAAGGGATATACCTGGTATGGATTTCTCATTTAAATAGTTTCTTTGTTCTAAGGATGTTCCTAACATCTAGCTCAGGAAGTAGGTCTTCTCACACTCGGCCAGTACAACCTCAAGTGTTTGTTTCAGAGAAAAGTGGGAGGCAAGAGAACACGTGGGAGAGGCAGAACAGGAGGAGAGGTCACATTTCTTTCATAATAACACATTCTAGTGAAACGGCCCAGTTCCTGAGCTTGCAAAACCGCATTAATCACTTTTAATGACCTAATTGCTTTTTTAAAATTTTGTTTACAATGGGAATTTGACACAGGCTATGTGCGTGTTACTGAGCTTCACACCCAAGGATTTTAATCTCATCTTAAAAAGCCCCACCCTCCAACATGACCACAATAGCGGGCAAATCCTGACATGAACAGATGGAAAGATTACTTTCCAGCAAGAAGAGCATGTGTTCTCAGTTCTCTTTATTTCCACCTTTGTACAAACTGAAATGAGTAAGGTCACAGATAAAAATTGTTTATATTGTGAGACTTGTGTTGGAAATTGCTGACCTCAGTACATGTTCATATACTTGACCGTTTCTTCTGCAGGATTTCCAGCCACTTTCTGCACAATGCAAGATGGCCTTCCTGTTCTTGCATCTCTCCTACCTCCAGCCTTGATGCTTGGTTGTTCTCTCTGCGTTTCTAGTAGATGTTTCCACAAACCCCAACACCATTGTAATTCTGAAAGAGGGCAAAGGGACTCTGCTTATTTGGATCAGTGTCCAGTCCCCACTCCTCCTGTAAGGGACTCTACCTTGCTTGGATCAGTATCCAGTCCACACCCACTTCTATAATGGACTCTACCTTGCTTGGATCAGTATCCAGTCCACACCCACTTCTGTAAGGCACTCTACCTTGGTCAGATCAGTATCCGGTTCACATTCCCTCTGTACTTGGTGAAAAATATATGGGTGTGTACTAGCATCCTTGAGTCTCATTGTTTTCCTTGGCAATGCAGTTCCATTCAGTTCAATGTTTACGTGACTAATTCTTTTAGGAAGAGCTCATTTCTCCATTCCTTTGATTCTTAAAAACACTGCAAGAAGATACAGTCATGTCCCCATGCTTACTTCATAGAATGTTGAGCTCCGCTTATGAGGTCTCTTTGGCCTTCCTCAAGAAGAGTCCTCCCTGTGCCTTGAAAAAACATCAGCATAGCATTTGTAAGACCTACAGTTCAAAAACGGCATGTGTAAAACCAGCTTGGTTCACCTTGACTTTGCCATGGAAGGAGCGTGGTGGTTTCAGTTAGCTGTGACCACTAAGGCAAAATACCCCACAATGATAGTTTAACATAAACAGATTTACCTCTTAGCGTCCTGAAAGTGTTGGCAGAATGGCTATCGGGTGAGGGCTGCCTCCCCACAGGTGACTCCTTACTCTGGCTACACTTCCACATGATAGAAAGGCAAGACAAGACAACTCTCTGGGCCCTCTCTTCCTTCTCCTCTCCCTTCTTCCTTCCTTTTTTCCTTGTTCTCTCTTTCTCCCTTCCTAGATTCCTTCCTTTCTTCTTTCTTCTTTGTCTTTTCTCTCTTCTTATTTTGGTATTGGATACTGAGACCAGAATCCCATACAACTGAACAAGTAGTCTGCCTCTGACCTACATCCCCAGCTTGGTGGGGAAGTCTCTTTTCTAAGGTCATTAACTTCATTCTCAAAGACCTTATGACCTAGATATCTTACAAAGGCCATGATTCCTAATGTTATCGTAGTGGGGATTTTTTTTAACAGGATTGAGATTTATATCATTCATGTTCCTTCTTCCCAATGTATATAACAAGGTGAACTTAGAACCATCTTCCACAATGGCGTGACTCTGTAGCTGTGCTCTCCTTTCTCTGTGGGGAAAGAGGTGCTGGATGGCAGCCTCCCCTTGTTTTCAACCATGTGACATGGCGCCCTTTTCACTGCTACTCTCAACAACCCAGGTCTAAGAAGATCAACTCTTGTACAGAGCATTTTCAGAGCATGGCCGACAGATATGCCAATCAAAGTGATCACTCTGCAGTGGGTGGGACGCAGTGAATGGCTGTTATGAAAATGAACCAGGAGTAAATCTGGGTTCTGCTGTTAGTGTTTACATCATTACATTCGAGACACAACTCTGCTTCTGTGCAGCCATTCAACCACCCCCTTCAGTAATCCCAGATGTTAGAGAGATTGTTCCCATATTGAAGGAGATTTCTCCTTTTTTCAGTAATTCTTTTTTAAAATTCCTTTCAGCTGGGCAGTGGGAACACACACTTAATCCCAGCACTTGGGAGGCAGGGGCAGGAGGATCTCTCTGAGTTCAAGGCCAGCCTGGTCAGCAGAGGGAGTTCCTGGACAGCCAGGGCTACACAGAGAAACCTGCCTGGTGGGGGGCGTGGGGGGGAAGATTCCTTTCCATATGTTAGGTACTGTTCATGACAAGTGCTTCACACATGTTAATTTGTCTGAAACATTTTAAGCAAGATATTATCAAAGAAAATAAAATTTGTAAATAGTGACATATTTATTCATTTGGATTTGGCAATTAATAATTATCTATAAAAGATTGAAATTTCCATTTAAACAACAAAAGTCCTGCTACAATAAGGGGACACACGTTGGTGGTAACATTTTATTATCAACGATCTGGACACAAATATTCACTGGAATACATAGAACACGGGTTTGGGGTAGTTTGTTTTCTTGTGGATTTTAACAATCTGCAGAGCAAGATAGAAAATCATGGCTTTAAGGTACACGACAAATGAATAACAAGGTCTTTTTTATTTAAAATATGTGAGTCATGCAATTATCGTTAAGAATCAGTCTTTGCTGGAAGAGGTTTGCTTGGAGTATAGAAGCTTTCATAAATATTAATCAAAGGATTATGATGATTTTTGGACAAAAATAAAGCAGCTAAAAATTTCTGATCACTTGCGTTAACTATTTGTGTGTGTGTGTGTGTGTGTGTGTAGTGTCTTACTTTTTTACCCAGTCTGGCCTTGACATCAGGACAATTGTCCTGCCCCAGCCATCTGAGTGCTAAGGTTAAAGGTATGAGTCACCATCTCCGACTAATTTAACTATCATTAAAATGTCCCCAGTCCTGCCACTTCAAAAACCTTCCTCATCTTTAAATTTACAAGAACAACAAGACTTGAAGATTAAAATGCTTCATCCCAAATTACAAAACTGTCATTTACTTAATCTCCTCCATTCTTCATGGGCAGAGAGCATATTCCATTGCGATTTTCAGAAGAAAAAGGGAGTCGCGCATTTTCACTCTCTCGGAGAGCCGTTCGCTCGGGGTCAGTTTTTATATTCCCCATGAAGCTTTTTCTTCCCCTTAGGAACGTGGTTCAGAGAAAACGGTGACTTGATATTTAGCCGATCCCTCTCAGCCTCCTCTTCCTCGTCGTATCTTTCGTCCTCGTCTTCATCTTCCACATCACTGCTCTGGGGACTGGAGGTCTGAGATCCCGATGGAGAAGGGGGAACTGAGGAGGGCCTGGGATACTTAAACCCATCCGTCTGCCGAAGACAAATAAGACACACATGTTTAAAAAAAGACTTCTAGGGGGGTCGGAGAGATGGCTCAGTTAAGAGCACTAGCAGCTCTTCCAGGGGTCCTGAGTGCAAGCCTCCGTAATGAGATCTGGTGCCCTCTTCTGGCCTACAGGCATACATGCAGGCAGAACACAGCACAAAATATAAATAAATAAATAAATAAAATATATAAAATATAAATAAAAGTCTTCTGGGTTTTCTTTTATTGTCAGTTTTGTTTTGATTTTGTTTTTATTGTTGGTTTTAAAGTAGTCTCTATACATAGCCCTGACTGTCCTGAAATTCATAATGTAGACGAGGCTGACTTCAAACTCACCTGCCTCTGCCTCCAGAGTACTGGGATTAAAGGCATGTTGCCACCACACCTGGGTGGTTTTCTCTTTTTAAATATAATTGTCTTTTTAAGATTTTAATTACGTGTGTGTTTGTGTGTGTTTGTATACAAGTACATGACATACACATGATCTATCTTTTTCCAAATCACCTTAGTTTTAAAATCATCCAAACACACATGCAGGCACACACACGCACACCCCACACACATTGCTAGCAGATACCAGACGTGAACATCAAATTCCCTGGTGCTAAATTAATAGGCCGTTACTCCATAAGGAGTGCTGACAACTGAAATCAGATCTTCAGAAAGGCAGCAGCTCTTAACAGCTGAGTCACATCTCCAGCCCTAACTTCTTGATTTTCAACGACACAGACAGTATAGATACTAACTGAATTGTTTTTAGGTAATCTACTGTGATCCTTCAGGAGCTTAGGAACTTTGACTCTGGTACTATCAGTGTTAAAATAGACTCATTAAACACATGACTATCTTTGACTGAGCACTAAAATATACCAAGTACTATATATACTGTCTATAATAATTGCACATAATCATATAATATATCATTTAATATTTTAACAATATCCACATAAATTCTTCCTGCTTCCTCTCTGAGAAAAAGAGACAGAGAAAAAGCGAATGACGTGCGGAAGCCATGGCAAAATTTAGTGCTGGCTTGTGACAACCCTAAGTCTTTCCTTAGTTTCAATGGCCATACACATTGCTCTGTCTTCTTACAGATGCTTTCAGAAAGTTCCAGGACATGGGCAGCTCAACAGGCCACCAACAGACACCACTATATAGAATCCTG